ACAGCTCCGTCATATAAACTTCCAAAAAAACTGTTAGAGATTATTTTAGAACACACTAAATTTTCACCTAAATTTACCATAAAAAATACAATAGAACTAGTTAATAAAATACAACATTTTCAATTACCTAACAACTCCAGATTAATTTCATTTGACGTAAAAAATCTTTTTCCTAGTATCCCTCCTACAGAAACTTTTATTCTAGTAAAAAACCTTTTAGACCAAAATAGTACAAATCCAATAATTACATCTGAAATTTTACATCTTCTTGAAGTTTGCATAAACCAGGACTACTTTGAGTTTAATAATAAAATTTATACAAATAACAGTGCAGGACTTATAATGGGTAATCCTCTAAGCCCATTGCTATCAGATATTTTTATGGATCATCTAGAGACAAAGATTTCAAAACATCCCGTATTCAAACAGTTTGTATATTGGTGGAGATACGTAGACGACGTACTGGTATGTTTCACAGGAACTAACAGGCAACTCGATTTTTATCGTATATTAATTCGCTTCATAGTCATATTGAATTTACAATAGAAACAGAACAAAATCAATCCATAAATTTTTTAGATTTAAAAATTAGCAGACTTCAAAACAAACATGACTTCTCCATATTTCATAAACCTAAACTGACACGACTATACAAAATTCATCATCCCATCCAACACAACATAAACTGGCAGCTTATCATAGTATGTTACATAGATTAACAGAAATTCCGATGTCAAAATACAACTTTGAGACAGAATTAAATATAATTAAACAAATAGCAGTAAACAACGGATACAACGAACAAACAATTAATAAAATGTTAAATCAAAAACTACACAAGAAAGCCCTGAAATTAGTATTTCCACCACCATAGAAAAAACCCAGTACATTCTGCTCTATTACATATACAGGCAAAATAACAACAAAAATTGCCAAACACATAAAAAAAAAGGAATAATACCAGCTTTCCGAACAAATAACAACCTAGGCAAATATATTAAAAATAACAAGAGCCAAAATAAAAAACACTTAAATAGTGGTGTGTACAAACTTCAATGTGGCGACTACCCAAAAACTTACATCGGTCAAACTGGTAGAAACTTTGATAAACGAATAGCAGAACATAAAAGGGCTTTCAAAAATAGGAAAACAGATTCGACATACGCACTTCACCTTCTAGATCATAATTATTGTTTTAATGACAAATTAAAAATTCTTCACATTCAAAATAAAAGCCTTAAGCTATCTTTGTTAGAATCTATGGAAATCAACAAATTAAAAAACACGGATATAATTCTGAATGACCAACTTGAGACAAACAGTTCTCCCCTCCTCAACCTATTTCATTAGAGACTATAAATTTGTAAACCCAAGCCAAAAATAGATCACTTGAGAAAGGCAATCAGCCAAAACAGCTGTAGTGATAAGATTTAAAATAAATTTTGTGGAAGTCTGAAAACAAAGTTTTCAGTGTTTTATTTTTACCTATTTTTTAGTTTTAAATTTGTTGCATCTTGTGTGGAAAAATGTGTCGTTCTTAGTAAATGAATAGATTTTTTATTTTCAAAAATATAATTCGAATTTACTTGCTTATATTTTACGTATTTTTTGTTTAGTTGGTAAATATGTAATTACAATCAAAAAGATACAAAAGGTAAGTGAATTGCTATTTTATTATTAATCAAACTTATGGCATTGTATTGATTTCATCATTACATTAATATTTATTTCAGTAATCTTTGTGGCTATCTGTAAAATGGATTCCAAATAATCATAATTCAAGTGATTTTTATTTTACCACTGACAATTGAATCGCTATATGCAGCATACAATAAATAACACATGTCCATTTTTCCGTAAATCTGGTTTTTGGAAGAATATGAACAGACGTAATTACATTGCACTACTACAGCAAAATAACACGTGTCCATATTTAACTTACCTATGTAGTAGTCAACGATATATTTATTTGGTAATCAGCAGAACGATGAGATGTGCTTAAGTAAGAGATTAGATGCGTGCGCTATAACAGCTTTGCAATAGGTTATTTCTACGAGAATTTCAATCATAATCTACGTACATAGTCGTTACACGTAGTATGTTTTGAGTTCTTGTTTGAATTGATTTGTTATTAAAAATTTGAGTTTGAAGATTTAGAGATCTTGCTGTTCTCGAAAAATCTCCAAGAGATCTGCGTGGTCTTAATCCAAGTGACAATAAATTAGGATATGTCCAATCGGCCCTTCGCCAGCATATCGAATCATTTCCGGTTAAAATCAGTCACTATTCCAATCAAGAAATTGAATACCTTAACAGTCAGTTAAATCTTAAAATAATGTTTGGCTTGTTTAACAAGAAACATCCTGGGTTAAAAATAAGTTATACTTATTAAACGACATTTTTTAGAGAAAACTTTTCTCTTAGATTTGGTCGACCACAAATTGATGTCTGTTCAACTTGTGAGGCATTGAATACTAAGATAAAATACTCCAATTTAAATGAAACCGCCAAGAGCAGCAGTGGCGGAACATATGGTCTATAAGCGTCGGAGTCAAAAAATTTACCCCAAAGTGAAAAATTAAAGTGATGGTCCCAACAATGGTAACATATTAGCACTAGCATTCGACTTATACAGAATATTGTTGCCAACAACGTCTATAGGGGAATCTTTTATTATCAACAATTAATAGTATCTGTATTCTGTATCCACAATATCAAAGGCAATACTGCTAGAATGTTTATTTACCATGAAGAAAAAGGCAAAAAACCGGTAATGAAATTTGTTCGTTTCTTTTGGATTACCTAAACGAAATTTCAGACAATATAAACGAACTTCATTTATATAGTGACAACTACAGGGAACAATATAAAAATCACACACTCATTCGAATGCTCCTTTCTCTAACGGACGGTGCTAGATTTTCTCCCCTGTGATAGGATTTTTGCAACTGTAAAGAGAAACATGAGAAAATTCGATATGCAATGCAAAAGTACACTTCAATATCAGCAAATTTTCACAGTTTATTTACCAGAGTTGAAAAAGGGGGATTGTTACTGCTTCCGAGTTTATAGATGGCGCCTTCAAACATACATTTCAGCTACAACAGCCTGGCAAAATTGGTATCGCTTTACCATCGAAACCTGCCTATCCATTAGGAAAAGTGCCCATCAAATTGAAAAAAATTGAGGACATCAAAAGATGATCCGTATTTGTTGAAGAACAATACAAAGAATTTTATAATTTAATACTTCTTTGACCTACTACTCCTAATAATTAACTGTTTAGAGTTTTTTGTAAGGTTTATGAATAAAATTTAGCATATAAGTTAAATTTATCTATTAATGTTATCAATGCTATGCACAAAGCTCATATGTCCACTTAAAAAATGTATCATAGAAACTACAACTTTTATTTGTAAATTAAAACCATTATTGTGCGGTGTAAAAATACCTTTACTTACCATTTTTACCCATCAACTTTACCGAAAATCTATTTTCGTTTACAATATGTGTTTTTGCATTCCTGAAAAATTTGTATTTTGGATATGTGTTGTTTCTGCATTATAGCGATTCAATTATTGAAACGAAACTTTGATACTAGCGTTTGTATATAGACCATCGAATGATGGATTATAATCAAATATTGGTTGATATATCATGGACCCAACGAGTTACAAATGCAGAAGTGTTAAGAAGGCTACAAAAGGATTGCGAGGTCATACAGCACATCAAAACAAAAAACTGTAATATTTAGGCCACATTACCAGAGGTGCGAAATATGAGATATTAAGGCTCATAACGCAAGGTAAAGTCAAGGTTAACAGATCCATAGGAAGACGAAGAATTTCCTGCCTGAGAAACCCAAGAGAGTGGTATAGTTGCAGTAGATCTTCTTTTAGAGCAGCCGCCAATAAGGTACGGATAGCTGTGATGATAGCCAACCTCCGATAGGAGAAGGAACTACAAGAAGAAGAATTGGTTGATATTCACCATAATAATCAATTTTGCTGTCTTTTTATGACATTTTCATTGAATTATGCCAGCATCTGTGCAAGGTTGCCAATTTTTGTCGTAAGTTTTAAACATTTTAAATATGTAATGTAAAACTTTTTCCAAGATGTGAAACAACAATTTAAAACAAGTTTAGTTTATATTTTGCTTTTATTCTGACAAAATGGCAGAATCAATCTAATATTTGCAGAATGTTTTATTAATTAAATAACAGTTTAAATGTAAAATTCCAAATTGTTGACGTTTATGTGCAGTCAGACCAAAAGATTCGTACAAATTAAACCATGGTTTTTGGTGCAGTAAGTGTAAGATGTAGCCCATATGCATCGATACACTTTTTGGAGGACTGCGAGTACCTGTCAAAACTGTATTTTATATAATGTGGTTTTGGGCAAATCAAATGCCAGTTAAAAGTGACGCAGAATTAATTAAAGAAAACAATAAAATTACTTTAATCAATTTTAAAAATACAGAAAACATATTACCGAAGCTTTGCAGTACCGCATACTGTATTTTTAAAACGCATAAACGCATTTACATAAACGCATAAACAATTTAACGCATAAAAGTATTTTGTGCGTTATAATATTGAGCAGACCCTGCAATATAACAAAAAATATGGTATCAACTGGAGGTAAAATGTTACGGAAGCAGAGTATCCGTTGGCAAACTTGGAAATTTAACTGGTAAGAGCATGGAGGTAGTAGATATGCTCAAAAAATGAAAGTATACATTGTTTGCATTCAAAAAACGAAGTAGAAAGGTTAAAGGACGAAATAACTATGTAAAGGATACAAATTGTGGTATGTATGTACTGTGTAACTAATACAAATACCTGCTAACTAGATGGAAGATTGCTAAAGAAATCAAGTAAAAGTTGCATCTTGCCCGAGAGCTGTTGTTGTCTGTACATCTCTGCTTTAAATCAAATTTAATAAACAATTTTACATGGATTTAAAATTACTTTAGCTAAATACAATGATTCTTACCTGGTATTTGACACAATGATCAAACTGCCAAGAAACTGTATACAATCCAGTACATAATGAAGAAATAATACTTAACGGTGCTTGAGGAACAAAATTATCTGGCCAGGCAAATCCTAAAACAAATACAGTTATAGTCGTTTAAAATTGTTTATACTGTTCTTGATGCACACAGACCACCTTCGTGTGCATGTTAGTGTGCGGAGGAAATATCACAAGTGTGTTGGATTTGGGCCCAGATCTCTAAACAGGTCACGTTGCTTGGAAACGAATCTCGTCTAAGCACTCTCATATATCTAAGCATTCTAATTTCCCATGCGTTCCCCTTTTCGTTTTTAACTGCTCAACATCCACTTCCATACATCATAGCTGATCTTACACAGTATTATAGAATTTCCTTGTACTTTCATTGGAATCTTTCTGTCACACAACACACCACTCGCCTTCTTCCATTTCATAAATCCCACCCTAATTCATTACTCCGCAACACCGATCCTAGGTATTTAAAACTAGTACATTTCATTTGAGATTGGCAGATGACATCGTCCTTATAGCCGATCGTATGGATGATGGAATAATAATGATTGAAAAATTATATCACGCTTCCTGGGAGGTCGGACTAAAGATTAATATGAACACAAGATGCAAATAATGACATCTGGTACTAAATCGAAATATTGCTGTTGATGGAAGGGATATTGGGCAGACTACATCGTATAAGTACTTAGGACATAAACTTCGGTTGAGCAGAGATAACCAAACATGTGAGCTCCCACGTCGCTTAGGATTACCCACGCTCCCACTCCCTGGGCAACGTTTGGTAAATTAAACTAGGTATTTAAATCGGATCAACCTATATGCTACCAAAGAAAAAACTTTGACCAATGTGTGTTACCTCTACTCATTTATGGAGCGGAAACATTAATACTCATAAAACGGTAGTGAATAAGATTCGCGTGACTCACAGGAGTCACACGTCATCGAAAAAATCGCGTCGCTAAAATGGAATGGGCAGGACACTTCGCCAGATTATCAGACAACCGATCGACAAAATGTATTGTCGAGTGGAAACCAAGACAAGAAGCAATAAGGAGCAGAGGACGACCACCAACTAGATAGACTGACGACCTGAAGCGTGTTAGCAATAACTGGATGCAAGCCGCACAAGACAGAGACAGATGGAAAGAGCTAAGGGGGACCTCAGACCCACAGATTGATGATGATGATGATGATGATGACATTTCACAACCATTTGATCAGCCAACGTTATCATCTTATTTGTAGTAGAAACTCAATCTCTAAATGAATTTTCAGGTACTATATTTTGGTCCTACTAAGTTCTAAACTTTTTTCTTCAACAGCTTGTCTCTACTATTCTAGTCTTTGCTCTAAATCCCTTTCAATATTTTCTACCAAGATTAACACAGATTCTCTAATCAGTAGCAGCTGCCTTATACGAGTAAGAGCCCAAACAACTATATATTGGGACAAACTAAAATACATCCATGATTCAGATAGTTGGCGGTTTATTTTTTTCTAATAAAGTGTTTGATGTAATTAATTACATTACTAATAATCTAAGTTAAATCAGCAACACAAAACAAGAGATACTTTAACAGAACTAATTAACAATAAACAATATTTATTTTGTTGGAAACTAAGTATTCAGACATAGAATGAATATCTGTTTTTAAAACGGGGTAGTATCGCCCTGGAGTATAATGAAAAAATATATTCAGATGCGTTTAAAACAAAGAAAGGAGTTCGACATGACTGCATACTATCACCATTATTATACAACATATATTCTGAATTTATAATGAGAAAAGTATTAGACGCAACCACAAATCCTACGACCACTCGTTATAGAAAACGACGTCATCAAAGCCATGAACGAATTTGTATACCTGGGAACGCTCCTTAACACTGAAAATAATACTACCGCAGTCCTAACATATGGTTCAGAGACCTGGACGCTAACAAAAAATAATGAAAACATGTTAGGATGTTTCGAAAGAAAAGTACTAAGGCGAATCTATGAAACAGTGAATGACAAAGGAATGTGGAGAAGACGATACAACTTTGAACTTTATAGAATATACCAGGAACCTGATATCGTAAAACATAAGGTAGGACGTCTGAGGTGGATAAGACATGTAATGCGGATGGAACAAAATGACCCAGCTAGAAAAACGCTCCTTGATAGACCCGTTGGTCAGAGAAGAAGAGGAAGACCCAGAACAATGTTCCTTGATAACATCGATGAAGACATGAGAAATATGGGAATACGTGCTTGGCGGAGAAAGGCGGTGGATAGAGATGACTGGAGAGAAATTCTTGAGGAGGCTAGGAGGCATGGTTGTAAAGCCAGAATGATGATGATGAAAGTATTAGACGAATGGGATGGAGGAATCACTATAGAAGGCAGAGAAATCAGTAACCTGCGTTACGCAGATGACACACTTATGGTAGCAGCGAATGAAATCAAAGATAAGAGAAGAATTCGTACTTTAGATTAATACCGGAAAATCAACTATAATGATCATAGACAGAGCAAATAATAATCTACCGCACATACACCAAATGGCGAATCACTATAAATAATAATGGAGGTTGCCCCTCAGAAATAAAGCGTAGACTAGCAATGGCCCGATTTCCAACAGATAAATTAATTAAAATATGGAAAGAGCGAACAACAGCAAAGAATACTAAGCTCAGGTTAGTCTATGCCCTTATTTTTCCCATTGCTACATATGCAGCTGAAACATGGACTCTCAAAAAAATCGATATGTGTAAGATCATAGACTTTGAAATGTGGGTATATAGAAAAATTATACGCGTGTCCTAGACAGAACATAAAACCAACCTGTCAATTCTGGAACAGCTTCATATAAAAGACAAGCTATTAAAAAAGTAAATCAATCGTACCTAAATTACTTCGGCCACATAACTGGAAGAATAGGGTCCATGGAACTATTGGAACTGGTCCCTACATGAAGCCGTCCATACGGCACAGGGTTGCAGCCAATGGAGACAGCAAGCTAAGAGTGTCACCACGGCCTGACAAGGGCTCAAGGAACGAGAAGGAGAAGTATCGTGACTTCATGACCGCTCAAATTCGGTTGGTATTGATTCGACTAAGGATCTGCCCTGTTCAGGGGTAAATTCATTCTAAATCTGCTCTAGTTAGGCTTTAAGTTCGTGTAATGTCCGTTGTAGTTTGTTCCTCAGTTTCTGTTTCATTTTATGCCATACTGTTTCAATGAAATTTGGGTCAGGACTGCTAGAAGACCAAGAATGGACGTTTATGTCGTGTTTTCCAAACTAGTGTTTTGTGGTTCTGACCGTACGACAAGCCGCTCCATCTTGCCGAAGAATGTAACTCTCGCCAACATTTAGCATTTCGCAATGCTTCGTAGTAGCATGTTTTGAAGTATTTGTTGATATTTCGCAGCATTTATGGTATCCTCAATAAATTCAAAACATCTCAACCCTAAAACTGCCATACGACCCCAAGTCATCACTCTTGTAAGAAATTATACGGCCCATTACAACACCAACACGTATGTCGAATTTTGATTCGTTAATAAAAAATTACTCGGGAAAGAAAGTTTCGATCTTGCCCACATAACTTGCTTTTATTTTGCTGTTTACAGTGGAAGAATTTGAAATTGGTCGTTAAAAGACTGAAGGTGAAGTGTGTACGTAGAATATATTTTCCTATTATTGAAAATCCTTTTGTGTTTTGCTCTTCGTTCGTTAAAGATTCTACCAGTATGACCGATGTAAGATTTTGGTGTGTGGTGTGCCGTGTTGTGGTGGTTTTACATGTGATGACTGCCCAAAAACTTATATCGACCAAATTGGTAGAACCTTTAACAAACATATAGCAGACCGAAAAAGGGCTTTCAATAATAGAAAAACAGATTCTACATACACATTCCACCTTCTAGATCATAATCATTATTTAATGATCAATTTCAAATTCTCCATATTCAAAATAAAAAGCCGTAACTTATTCAGTTAAAGACTATAAAGTCGTATTAGGTGCATAATAAAACTACATCACTTCTAGATATCTAGAAAATCTCCGATCTCTAGTAGATAGAATTTTTTTGTTTTGTTTTAAATTAAAATTTGCGAGTTATATTTTATATTTTCTTTAGTTTTCTAGAATCGAAATGTTATGCAAATAATTAATGTTTTGATTAGTAGAATTTGTAGATAAAATAAAATAAAAGTAGGTACTTACCTGAAATAATGGAAGTCAACCCAGATAGAACTGCCGTTTTGTGCAGGTAATTTCCAAAACTAATCCACCTAGCAGTTTCATCCCCAAGTTGTGTGGGTTCTATAACAATAATGGAACAACGACTCTCTAAGGCCTTTTCTAATTCCATAGAAAAACAAGCTTGGGAGAATTCATTGTCATAAACTTCCCTAATAACTGCAACATTTGTGGAATGGAGAGATCTGCAAAAACCATGTTAATGTATGTTAGTAAAAAAATAATAAGGCTAAAAAAAGAATATAAAGCTTAGTGGATCATAAATGGATCAAACGCTGAATCCATAGTATTTCATTATCAGAATGTTCAAAATAAACACCAAAAACATACTTAAATAAATTATAAGATCATACCTATGTCAGGTTAATTTAAATGCGTATTTTAAATTGTAAGTATTTAATGTAATGTAATGTAATTGTATTTAAATTACAATTTAAAATTTAGGAAGGCATCAAAGGCTTTAATCCACCGTCGAGATTATATACTTAAGTTCTTTCGTGTGACGATTAACTACCATCTATCAAGATTAAGTTAATGTATTGGTAATCATTACATCTAATTATCGCATTAGTTTGGTCGCATGGTCAAAGTAAGGAGTACTTACACGGTTTATGCCGCAATGACGATTACAAAGCATCTCAAGAAACAAGTATAAAAATAGGATAGTAAGGCACAGATTAAAAAGAGGGACATAAACATGTCTCAGATTAAAGGTATGACATTTTTTTCAAGGTGGCTAAAATATTGACATAACCTGATAGACCAAAATAATATTAATACAATTATGTAAGTAATCACCTTTATAACATATTATTTAGAATTAAACAGAAGACATATTTACTTTAATACCTTCTTCAAATCACAGAATATCTTAAGAACAACATAAAATATCTAGGCCGGAAGCAGTTACAATGTTAAAACAAAAATAAACCACTTAGAAAACATTGGGAGAGAAATATTAAATCAATACCTGCAAATGAAAATGACAGAAAAGTAAAAGCCATGGATAACCAACAGTATACTACAGATAATGGACAGAAGAAGAGAATCCAAGAGTAAATACTAAGCCGCATATCAAGAAGACCCAAGAAGCAGTAGGCCCTTATAAATCAAAACAGACCAGGACACTTAACAGACACTCAAGGAAACCCAATAGTTGATATTGAATAAATAAAAACAACATGGATGAACGTGACATTTGAATACAATGGGAGTGTCACTATCACACAGAATAAAAATGACTATCGGGCCACATATTATCGAAGAGGTAGTAGAAGCTGCTATAAACAGCAAGGATGGAAAATCTGCATGGCTAGACGACTTCTATGCAGAATTCTTGAAAATTATGGACAAAGGTGCACTAAATAAACTTACTTCGATATTTAACAATATATACAAAAGTAGGAAAATACCCCAAAAGTGGCTTAGATTAACTTTCATAACAATACCTAAAAAAACCAATGAGAAAAAATGTGAAGACTGCCAAATAATAAGCCTTATGAGCTATCTTCTGAAAACGTTTTTACACATTATACATAAAATAATATATAAAAAGTTCAGGGATGCATCTGTTACTTGAGAGGCACTTTTTGAAATACAAGTTCTCCTTCAATGATGTAGATATAAGAATTTTGTTATATACAAGTAAAAAGTGTTTGATAGAATAAAACATGATGAAATATTAAATTAATATTAAATTCACTTGGTATAGATAGCAGAGATCGCCCTACAATAGACAATATGTATTATGAACAAACTGCAGCTGTTAGAGTTGGGCATCATGTTTAAAAGATGACAACAATAAAAAGAGGTGTGACATGGATGTATACTACTCCCATTACTATTCAATATATATTCGGGACACATTTTGAACCTAGCGCTAATTGTTATAGACAAGGGAATATGTACTTGTAAATGGAGAACAACTACAGGAAAGAATAGGTTAGATAGATGATTTTAGAGGATTTGTTTTTCAAATTACTTTTATAAGTAAAAATTGGTTTTGAAACATTAAATAAATAGTTGCTTTATAACCTAATGGCATATGAACACAATTAATTACCTTTTCAATGGTAAAACTTCCAGATTAGTAGCAGAAATAATATAATTTATTAACTTATATGAGACATGCCATATATTTTAAATAAATACTTTTAATATTGTTTATCGATAAAATAAAACTACATATTGCTCTGGTTCCAATAATTAGCAATTAAACACATATCTTGTCAATCAAAGTAGAATAACAAATAAGACAATTATGAAAACATTTTTAATACATGACACCTCATCTTGCAACAGGAGAACTGAGTAGATAACTGAGCAACCAAAGTAAGAGTAAAAATATGATCTACCTTATCAACAAAGAAAGATAATATTGATACCAAAGCTTCAAATCAAATTTCTTTCCATTATCTCTTGATAGTTCATTGATAAATCATGTTTAGCAAATTAGTGACACCACAAAAAACTTATAACCACAACAGCAGAATTAATTAACATCCATTGCAATAAAATAAGATATCTAGAAGAAGATATACTATTAAATTTCATTATTAACACATTGCCTGCCATCTCGGTCTATGTGACCAAGAGAAAAAAATTGCCCTGCAAGCCAGCGAGGTCTATTGACTGAGAATTTTAATGTAACTGTGGTGCCGGCTCGGTCACTATGGCGTGAACGGAAAGTATTACAAAATCCTCTACGGCAGGCAATGTGTTAACTATACAAGATATTATATGGTTATAAATAAAATATACCTGGAACTGGAATATGAGCAAAGAAAATATAACCATTTGATTTACTACAAGAGCTCATAAAATTGTAAATAAAAGATAAAAGTTTTCTTAAGCTTATTTTAGTTTATGTGTTTATTAAATGGGTTCCTTTTCTTTACAGTAGTAAATATAATTTAAAGATACAATATAAAAGATAATTTAAATATCACACATTGGTAATAATAATACAAATACAACAAAATAACCATACGAATAAATAAATCACCATACAAATAATAAATATATTATCCTAATAGAGCTTCACTATAAAAATTCAGTTTTGTAAATTTAGTGACTGAAGGATATTGGACTATTCATAATTACTAAAAAAAACTCAATCTACAGGGTTACGCAATTGAACTGTTACCTATTTTCAAATGACCATAATTCTTTTTTGTGAAATTATTTTTTATTAATTCAAATGACAAAAATGTGTGAAAATAATCAAAATTTCAGAATCCACTCACTTTAGCTTGATGTGGCCATCTTTTGCCTTGACTATGGCCTTCAAACGATCAAAAAACGAGTTGCATGCAGCACGAATGTGATCTTTCGATATTTTGGCCCATTCACGTATAATTGCTTTCTTCAGTGCATCCATACTGGCATATTTTTTAGTCCTCACCTTGCTCTCCAAAATGGACCAGATGGAATAGTCCATCGGATTTGTTTGGATGAAATGAAGTGTGAAACATGGTTTTTGAACCATTCTTGGTTCACATTAGCTTTATGAAACGGAGTCTTATTGGAATGTCCATGGTCTACAACTGAAATGTTTGCGTGCACACGGATCTAAAGCAGCTTCTAAAACATTTTCCCGATAATAAGTTGTATTCACTTTGACACCAGATTCAATAAAAACGATTGGAGAGCGTCCATCGGCGGTTACAGCTGCCCATACCATTACTTGAGATTGGAAATTACTTCGGGTGGCTGTTCGTAAGCTCAAACTTTTGTAGGTGCGTTCGGTCAAGTAAACAAGATCATTGTGAGAGTTTATGAACTGCTCAGTAGGGAAATTTTTCTCATCAGAGAACACTATGTTCGAAAATTCGCCACATTGGTGCAGGCGTAACAACTCCTTTGGTCTTTCAAGCCGAACTTTTTTTGCTTTGGTGTAAGATTGTGTGCTTTTTGGAACTTGTAACGCTTGACCTTGAGCTCCTTTTTCAATATTCGTTGCATGCTTCACTGGGATATTTTCAGTTCTTTGGCCATTTGATTACCACTACGACGTGGATTTCACTCTAGTTGAGCCTTCATTTTCCGAACCATTTTGGGTGATCTTGCTGTTTTTTTTTCGTCCACCACCATAGCATTTGGCAATGCTACCAGTATCATTATAACGAGTTATGGTGCGATACACAAACATTTTATTCACTTTCGAGATGTTTGAGCTGACGAACAATAGCTGGTTGTTATTTTCCAGCCAAATATAACACAATCACACTATTACATTTAAATTCCATTGAGAACAACTTTTGTTGTATGTATAAAACTTAAATGCAAATGCTTTTGACGGCTTGTAAACAATATACTCAAGTGTTATCAGGCCAACTTTGACATAGCTGTCATTATCGATTTGCCAGATATATCGATGTGGAGTTGGTAACAGTTCAATTGCGTAACCCTGTATATGCAGAATAGATTAAGATGTTTAGCACTGCTCCAATGCAGTGAATATGGACATTACTTATAATGGTGACTAAACAAGAGAAACTCTTGTTTATGATTTAAGTAGAGATTTGAAATACCACCATACATCACCATCATTTTTGTGGGGAAGACTGAACACTCAATGCTAGATTAAAGTATTTTAATTTGTTTAGTTACTGTAAAAATGCATACTTAGAAAATACAATGGAATACCATCAGAACCATAATAGCTCAAAACTTCATGTAATATACAATTAATAAAAGGAATATCAGCAAAATTTGTTACATTACCTACAAAGCTCAACATATCAAGTATTTTTATATATTATGAAAAAGTGTTTAGCAAATAATCTGGAAATGTCCTTGTTAGTAACCCTTCATTACCATTAAACATCATCATACTAGAAATCTCAGAATCATTTCTCTATGATCTAAAATAGTCTGAAAATATTCGTCCAACAATTACTATCATGACTTAACAAAACAAACACCTCTCTTAAAATTCTTTTGAAAATGAGTTGTTTATATATGCTCTCAAATGCTCAAAATATAATATATAGAAATATACAGATGATAATATCATAATATATTTCCAGCTCAGTAGAAACCTTACAGATGATAAAAGAAATGTACATATATATCATATTCTTTTATCATATGTACGGTTTCCACTGAGCTGTGTGTATTATTTATATTTAGAAAATTATTCTAATCACAGGCAGATAAAAGTTATTTAGCAGTTTGATAATCAAAATACCAAACTTTAGTTGCTTAACTGGGTCCTTTATCTTTTTAGAGCACTAGATCACATTTCAAAGAGTTTTATTGGCCTCATATACATTTCCGAACTGCCACCTGTAAGATCTTTTGTGTAAGTATTGGATGCTACCTTATTCCCAAACTGATGTGGATGCCATCCAACTAATATTCAGTCTCCCATACTTCCTATATTTACTAGGTTTCTGTCCCAGATCAACTGTTTTCTTTCTATTTCTTTCATGATTGTTCCTTCTATTCCCATACAACTTTTAACATATTCATTTTCTTATTCAATCTATTCTGAATTTCGGCAAAAATTTTCTAATTTCATTCATCTCCACTACTTTGACCTTTTTATTTTTATTTTCTCTCATTGGTCTATAAGTTTCTGAACCATATAATAGACTGCTCTTGATTATAACCTCATAGATGTTAAATTTTCTTTTTTTATATATCTGATTACTCTATCAAATCTGTTCCAGTTTGATCAAATATTACTTCCAGATACTTGTCATCTTGGCAAGGTTATTTTCAATGAAAAAATTTAGTTTTACTGGTTTTGAAGAAAACAACAAATGAAATTGCCTGCTTTCCTGGAACAATATGCCCAATTATTCAGAAGCCTTTTGGTGCTATAATTTATTCTGTAATTTTTTAATATAAATGTGTAGAAGAGCCATGTTATCTATGTTTTTTACGCTACCTTACCATATGGCGATTTGGATGTTAATGCATGTAAATATTTTGAAAATAAGTTCTTTTGAGATGTAGTACTTATAACATGAATACAATTATGTATATTGAGGTACCTATAATACAGACATACTAGGGGCTGTGAAAGCATTTACTCCTTCTAAAAGCATGATAATTTGTAAATATTAAACTAAATAAATGATAACTGGTAAATAAATATTGTAAATTTACCTTGCAAGGTAGAAGGCAGACATTTTTACTGTACATTTATATACAGTTTGGAAAAACAGTGTGTGTTTACCAACACAATAATCACAGGTCAAAAATACAAAACAGATAAGAACTTATAATTAAAAGAAAATATAGTGGACTACATGGGCTAAAAATGCAGCAATTCCTGTATAAAGCAAAATGTAAAACTTTAAGTACAAATCACAATTAAGTATAGTAATAAACGATTGAACCTTGTTTGTAGCATATTTAACACTAAAAAATTAAAATTAAATTGAAAGTTCAAGGTTTATAATATATTAGGGACTAATTGGTAAAACATAATTTCTTTGTATGAAACAAAAACTCAAAAATACCATCCTGACAAAGAATTTAATTATATATGCACCACAGCAGCGTTCTTATTTACATTTTCAATGTTAATTTTAGCTCATGTTAAAATCTTTTGTTCTATTCTTTATATAGTACCTCTCTCCTGTATCCATTCTCAAAGTCCAAAATATAGAGATTAACCAGAATTATCACATTAGAGATGTTATTTTGAATGAACAGAAATAACACAAATCACTTAAAATTCGTATAACACGAACTATGTAGTACGTAAATTCGTTTCTAACTAAATAATTAGTTATATAATACTTTTCAAAATACACATTTGAATTCAAGATATTATTTGCTTGTCTTGTGTCTTCAAACTTCAAAATGACACCAAAATGTGACATCAAAATGAAGTTCAAGGTCAAGAAATAGTTTTTTCTTTCATAGTTTTGGTAGTTGGTGGTTATATACCAACTATGTTTTTATTTTTGTTTTTGTTCATTAAATTCCATGTTGCGTAAATTAAAATTGTATTATTAATAACAATGATATCAGAAAGGATTGGAAAATATATATTTTACATTAGGCAACCCGTACAGTGTGTATGTATAACTTCAAGTCACCTTTAAACATATTTTAAATAATATTACCTTTTATAATAATTGACTGTTATAATTATTTAGACATTTACGTTCAATAAATTCAACATCAGAATATTAATACGTTAAGCAACTCCGAATATTATAATCTTTTTAATCTTAAAAATCAACATACAAATTTAATTAAACCTCAAATTTTTTAAAATCTTTTTTAGCATTATTATTTATAAATATAAAACCCTTATTCTAAGCATTTTTATATTCTAAAAAATAATAGCTCCCTAAAAACCGTAAACCGTTTCAAATAATTGAAAATGCTTTGGTTGTTGACATTAAATGCTAAATTGTCAGCTGTCAGTTGTCAGCAAAGGAGAAAGGTTTGTGACGTTTTCTCACTACCTTATCATTTTTTTAATGTGTAAATTTCATTTTCAATTCGTCTGTCAGTTTAGAGTGAAGAGTAGAATGTGAACGTATACATAGTTCGTGTTTAAATAATTTTTGTTTAGTGCGTTATCAATTAAGGTTAAAAAATTAAACGGGATTAAAGTGGAGACAGTGGAAATGGCAAAAAAGGATCCAAATAATTTAGTTTATTTTTGTCTTGTGCTGTGCAGCAAATATTTTTGAGGAGTTATTAATAATAAACAAACCACAATGTCACAGTGCAAGAAGTTCGCCCCTAATATATTCCATAAGACAAAGTGTTCTAATTGTTTTAAACAGAAAGAGGAACATTCCGCAGAGGCATTGGAATGCAACCGGGTGAGTTTATATTTTGATAATTATTATTGTATTTATCAAGGAAATACTGATTGTTTTCGAGCTCCAGATACTTGTCTTGTCAGTTAAAAAAATAGGTAACCTGAATTATGAAATTTGTATGTTTACATTGATTTCTAATTTCCTTTATTTTGTTTTTCAAATTTACTAAAGTTAGAAAACTAGAAAGTTAACCTTAATTTTAAGTATTAACAGTACGTCTGACTTTTACTTCGAAAGACATTCTGAAGCTATTTTCTTGTGGCATCTTAAAGCAATTATTATTTTAATGGGAATAAGCCGCAATTGAAGTTTAAAATAAGTTTATTGACGTTTCAATTTCCACTTCGGAAGTCGTTCTCAAAATAAAATATAGGTATATAAAATAGTACATATTTTTATCTAAAATTTGCAGTTGTAGATTTAACAGTGTAAATACTTTTGTCAAAATTTAAATGCTGACTAAAAAATAAAATGTAAATATAAAGCTTGTAAGCAGATAAGACAAGAAAAGTTTTCTGCTTATTTAAGAATAACATTACTTACTATTTGTAGAAGACATAAATACTAAAATAGTTTAAGAAATAAATCAAATAATTTTTAAAAGACAGCTTTAATGCAAATAACTATTCAATGAGTCTTAGTATCTTAAAGACATCAGACTACTGCAGTATAACATATAATATAGTAGATCATTTTGTATAAAAATTTTTTAATTTATTCATAACAAATTTCTCAATTTACCTACAGATGTAAATAATTGTGTTTGATACAGAAGTTCCTACACACACATCATTATTTTGTTTCCTTTTTTGAGCAACAACACACTATTTTACTCCTTACTATGCATCATGTGGCAATGTTATGTTTTTTGTGCTCTTTATTTATATTTGTTATATAGTATAATTATTATTTCTATTTAAAATTGAGATGAAGGACTGTCCAGTTGCCATAAGAATCCTTTATAATCAACTATCATACATAGGCTCATTTCAACAAAAGTTTTAAAATTTCATATAAAATTCAAATAGTTTGACCCTTAAATCAAAGATAAATACTGACAAGCAAAAGTGATATGTAAGAGACCAATCAAATGGTGAATTTAAGGTCTTGTTACCAAGAACTCATAGGACTTTAATGTCATTACTAATTTTATATTGGATTATTGTCAATTTACCCCAAGATTATAAACACTTCTTATCACAAGATCAGCCTTTGATTTCAGGTAATATAAATACAATAAATATTGAGTATTTTGTGTTATATTTGTACTTGTGCTAATTATGTAGTAACCTTATCTCCTCTATTAATAACCACAACCATGGGAAAGCTATTCTGTAAAAAACAGTATACTTTTACTAAAATTTATTGTCATTCAAAATAGTTTTTATTTATTTAAACTCCAATATCAATAAAAATCATAAATTATTTTACTTACTTAAAAGGTTACAAGAAAATAGCTTTTTTATTTCTATGGGGAACTTTACTCACCAAGTAATCATTTAATAATAATACTTAAATACATTAGGAAATAAAAATAAATCACTTAGTAGGAACTATGCATGGAGAATTCCAAGCTTTTATACTCATAAAAATCCAATGGTTTAGTTAGTGGTAAGTAATATGCCTAAAGACAAAGATATAGGTACATTCAAATCAGTTGTGAGTTTATGGATAAATATTACACATCATATTATAATCTTTCCTACTATTAAACAACCACCACCTAGATGGACTGATTACCTGAAGTGTGTTAGCAATAATTGGATGCAAGCCCTACAAGAGATACAGATGGAATGAGCTGAGGGAGAGCTATGTCCAGCAGTGGACGCACACAGGTTGATGATGATGATGATGACTATTAAACAAACAGCAAAAGAAAGCAACATTTATATTTTTGCATTCTTTATATATATATGAACTGATTATGTTCTGTAATGATATAACAGAAGCAAAGCAATAGGATAAAATTGTACATATATGACGAGTTTTACAGAAAATATCCACTTTTTTGATGCCAAAAACATTGATTTTGAACTTTAAGAGCACACTCTTGGGACCAATTTTTTTTTAATATTAAGTACTCAAAACTGAAGAAAAAGATAGTACCGCCACCCGGAACGAGGGCAATCATGCCCTCTTACGGGATTTCAAAATCACTGTAGAATCTGTTTAAAGGCAACTAAAAAACTTAAAAAAAATGCAGGCCTTTTTTTATACATTTAAAGTAATGCTGTTTGCACGATTTTTTATAGATATTGGTGCGTAGGCGTCTTGTGATGCGGTCGATATTGTGGCGGTATTTACTTTGTTGTCCGATCTTCAGTTTTTCTCTGAAATGAAATAATGAAATTTCTTATTTAAAATGGACCATCCTGTATATTTTTTGTCTTTTAAAGTCCTTAAGAAATACCAATTATTTTTAATGTAATGTTTCCTATACCTACATGTCATAATTTCCGAGCTATTTCTATATTTACATTATCTTCGCCAAAGTACATTTAGATGGCTGTAATTATTACAATAACAACTTTGACGTTTCAATAAATTAGTATTGTTAATTATTGTTGGTGTCTATTTAAAGTCACAATGGATTGCATACTTACCCAAAAAAGAACTAAAGAATTAAAATTTTAATGATGTTAGTATATAGTGATATGAGTAGAAGTCAACAAGAAATGTGTAAATATCTTTAATAATTTATATCCTGAGTTCCAATAACAAGATATACTGTCAATAAATTAGCAAAAAAGTTTAACGAAACTGGTTCACTAAAATATTTATCGAAATCAAGGCACAGAAAAACTGCATCAACTGAAAAAAAATCTTGAGATGTGTATGTCCTATTAGAAGGCGATCCTCACTGGAGTACTAGACAAATATCCAGCGATTTGCGATTTCGCTAACATCCGTAATGAAAATTTTACGCGAAAATAAATTCCATCCATACAACATTAGGATTAGTTCAGAAGTTGTCAGATGACGATTTCGATGATGAAATGATCCAATTTTTTTAAGTAATGTTATGTTTTCCGATGAGGCCACTTCTTTAAATAAGTAATGGAAACGTAAATCGGAATAATTCTAGATACTGGTCACGTAACAATCCTCGTTGGATGAGTGAATACCACACATAGTATCAAGAACAACTTAATGTATGAGCTGGAATAATAAGTGACAAAATAATTGGTCCCTTTTTCATTGAGAAACATTTTAATTATCCGGCGTATTTAGATTTATTGGAAAATAGTATGTAGTATACCTGAGGTGGCTCGGTTATTTCCAAATCCAAGTAAATATTTTCAATTACATTTTACAGTAGAAATTTCGTTATTCGAAATTTTCAGACAATAAAAATATCCCAAACGATAATATTTGGCTTCGAGAAAATGGTGAAAAAGAGGCAATACCTAAATAATGTGTTTCCCAGAAGATGGATTGGAACGCGTGGTTTAATCGCATGGCCCCCGCGATCACTTGACATGAATCTTTTAAACTATTTCTTGTCGGATCACTTAAAAAACATCGTTTATAAAATAAAACTGCTAATATTCAGGAAACAAGATGAAATTACTACAGATAAGAATAATTATTGAACAGTCAGGGATAATGTTAAATGTATTACAAAGTTTTAAAAATGGCTTGTTGTATTGAAGCAAACAGACAATCCTTTGAGAATCTGTTGTGATCGCCTGTACTGGTTTTCTAAAATTCTTAATTTTTCTATGACTCAAATATTGATATATGTACCTCTATCATGAATTTGTTTTCAGCTGCTGTAGGTATACACAATTATTATACAATAT